GGCTTTAGGGCTTCAGGGTTTTAGGGCTCATGGGCTTACCCTAAACCCTAAAACGCTCCTAAATCCTCAACCCCTAAGGCCCTAAAACGCTAAACCCTAAACCCCTAAATCCTAAACCCCCCACACCCTAAACCCTAAACCCTAGACCCTAAACCCTAAACCCCGAAACCCCTAAACCCCCAAACCCCAAACCCTAAAACCCTAAAGACCCTAAGCCCCCAAAGACCCCGAAACCCTAAACCCCTAAACCCTAAACCACCAAACCCTAGACCTTAAACCCTAAACCCTAGACCCTAAACCCTAAACCCCGAAACCCCTAAACCCTAAACCCCTAAACCCTTAAACCCCTAACGACCCTAAACCCCCAAAGACCCCTAAACCCTAAACCCTGAGGTCCGTCAGCCTCGCCCTGGCATTGGCTGGGCGACAGAAGCTACGAACCGCCGGGTTCCTGTGCATCGCCCGGGGGCCCAAAACGCCTCGGGGCCTTGGGGGTCTTGGGAGGTTTAGGGTTTAGGGTTTGGGGCCTTGGGGTTTTTTTGGGTTTCGGGTTTAGGGTTTAGGGTTTTCGGGTTTGGGGGCCTTGGGGTTTTAGGGTTTAGGGTTTTCGGGTTTGGGGGCTGGGGGGATTCGGGTTGTAGGGAGTGTAGAGGATCTAGAGAGTTTCAGGCTTAGGGTTTAGGGTTGCGTGGTGGTTTAGGGTCTAGGGTTTCAGGTTTTGGGGGTTAGGTTGTGGATCGAAGCAGAACGGAAATGGGTCATTGCTAGCATGACACTGTCGAGTGGGAAACAGCTCAACCATCAACCCCAGCCCCAAACCCCTAAAGTCTAAGAACCCCTAAGCTCTAAAACCTTAGATCCCCAACCCCCAAACTCTAAAACCCTAAACCCCTCAACCCCCAAAGCCCTAAACTCTAAGCCCAAAATCCCTGAACCCTGAACCCCTAAACTCTTAAGGCCAAGCCCTAAACTGAAACCCTAACCCCTAAACTCGTAAATCCCTAAACTCCTAAACTCTAAACCCCTAAACCCTAAACCCTAAACCCCTAAACTCTAGACCCAAAACCCCTAGACCCCAAACCCCTAAACTCTTAACCCCAAGCCCCTAAATTCAGAAAACCTAAACCCTAAACCCTGAAGCCTAATCTCTAAACCCTAATCCCTAAGCCCTAAACCCTAAACCCAACAGCAGAAGCAGGCCCAGATCCTTGGAGCTATCACCGCCGTTGCGATGTGCACCAAGGCCGGTGACGCATGCGCGGTTTTAGTGTGCCGTAATTTGGGTCTAGAGTTTGGGTTTAGGGTTTAGGGATTGGGGGGTGGGGTTTAGGGATTAGGGTTTAGGGTTTAGGGGTTCTGAAAACCCCAAATCCCACAATCCCCAGCCCTCCACCGTTAAACCCCTTAAGCCTCTAAACCCTACACCCCAGACCCTAGAGAGCTTTGCAGGCTGGTATCGCCAAAGACGTCACGCTTGGGCCGATTCTGGGGCACAACTGGTTCCAGGCAACTGAGGGGCTTCCAGGCTGCTTTTCCGGCTCT